GGGGGGGGGGGGGGTTGGATGGGGTGGAGGGGTCTTATTTTTCTGTTACTAACGACTTTTCTTCAACCCTGCGTCTCCCTCTGTGTCCCGTCCCCCCTCTCTGTCTGCCCCTGTTTCTCTCTGTCTTCCCTCCCCCCACCACACCCCCCTCTCTCTCTTTTTCTTTCTCTCTCTCTCTCTCTCTTTCTCTCTCTCTCTCTCTCTCTCTCTCTCTCTTATGCTGGGAATATTTCAGTCTGTCTGATAAAAACCCTCTCCTTGCATAATTTAGTATCAACTTGATAAAAGATTTTATAGGGTTGCAACCCTTGACGCTCAGATAACTCTCCCAAAAACTGCTTCACCTCAGGCCTGCATCCTGTAGTTGGGTCATACCAACGCTTCTCAATAAGTAGGCTATAATAGATCTCGTTTAGGATGTTGGGTTGCAATATAGACTTTAAGTTCCTGAGTTGGTTTATGCATAAAGTCAAATCGTAGCCTGCCCTGAATTCCGGATGGCGAAGAGGCGACATTCAGCTTTTAGGATCTGCTCTGTCTGTCTGTCTGTCTGTCTGTCTGTCTGTCTGTCTGTCTGTCTGTCTGTCTGTCTGTCTGTCTGTCTCTCTCTCTCTCTCTCTCTCTCTCTCTCTCTCTCTCTCTCTCTCTCTCTCTCTCTCTCTCCCCCCCCCCCTCTCTCTGTTTTCCTTCTTTCTCTGCTCTGTCTCTGTTTGTCTCTCTCTCACTATCTGTCTATCTCTCTCACCCCCCCTCTCTCTCTCTGTTTTCTTTCTGTCTCTGCTCTGTCTCTTCTTGTCTCTCTCTCTCTTTATCTGTCTATCTCTTTCTATCTCTATCCCCCCTATCTCTCTCTCTCTCTCTCTCTCTCTCTCTCTCTCTCTCTCTCTCTCTCTCTCTCTCTCTCTCTCTCCGCGCGCGCGCGCGCCCCCACACGCTAGTCACACACCCTCACACACGCACAAAAGCGGATACACGCGATGTTCATTCCCATCCTCTCCCTGCTAACCTTTGTCTCCTGCTCTGAGTATAATACATTAATTTTGTACCGTACCGGTACTTTAGGCGATCTTTAACCCCCACCCCACCCTTCCTTTTTGGTCTCTCGTTTCACTTTCAGGTTAGAATATTTCAGTTTTTCTCACAAAAATGTCCTGGTCGAAGTCGCCTTGAACCGTTGTCCCTTGTGTATTGAATTCAGACTCCACCAAGTGGGTGGTTAGCGGGTGTTCTGGTGTGGTTTGCTTCTTCTTTCTTATCAAACATCTATTGTCTTTATCTCCCCTCCTTATTTTTTGGGTTTGTTACTCTCTTGTAACACCTCTAACATTCGGCACTTATGTGACCTTTGCAAGTGCCGTAAAACACTAAAATAAACATAAAGACTCCGCCCAAACTCGTGTTTCTGGGAAATCTGGGAAAGAAGTGAACAAGTCATACAAGTGAAGTAGCAGTTCTGCATTGGGTCCTTAGATCTATCCAAGATTGTGATTTTGTGGCGTCGGTAGTCTAGTGGTTACCGGACTCCTAATCGCGAGGTTGCTGGTTTGGGGTTCGAGCCTCAGGCCTGACGTTGTGTCCTTGGGAAAGGCACTTTGATCGAATTTTCTTCATTTTACCCAAGCGAGAATGAGTACTCGGCTTAAGACAGCGAAAGATCTTGTCAGTAGGCATGTGTTAGTGTTTTACCACCTATAAAAATACGCAGCTTGCACTGTTTGCTTCCCAAGAGGTTGAGCTTGTTTCAGAATGCTGTCATGTCTTCCTGGGTAATAATATTGATTGTGAAGCTTGCTGTTGAACGGGAATTTGCGCTATACAAATACTATTTATTATTATTATTATTATTATTATTATTATTATTATTATTATTATTATTATTATTATTATTATTATTATTATTATTATTATTATTCTAGGATAGAAAGTATAATCTTTGAAATATGTCCTAGAGACAACACCCGAAGAAAATGATACGCGTTTGTCACACTATTCTGACGTTTAAACCTCAAGGCTGTAGTCTATAGGCCACAGGCCTACTGGAATGTGTCCAGGACACGGGTGTTGGTTTTGCTCTATCAACCTGTTGATGGCCCGTCGTCAGTGGTCAACTGGAAAATGGTGGTAGCCATCTGTTCTATGTTCTTGTTACATCTCTGTCTACAAGTGTGTATGTGGAGGGGGGGGGTGCGTGCATGTATGTGTGTGTGTGTGTGTGTGTGTGTGTGTGT